GAGTCAGGAGTCACCAGCTAGACATAGAGGAAGCAAGATGACAAGGCAGAACTGAGAAAAGGTACCAAGCCACATGGCTAAATATAAATAAGAATGATGGGTTAATTTAAGTGTAAGAGCTAGTCAACCTCCATCAGTCACTGGACAAAGGCTCTATGATGACAGCTAGATTAATTGCTAGGCTGGTCACTAGAGTAGATCAGTCCAGGCACCCTCTGGACCACTGCCAGCAGACCAAGGTGGGGTCAACCTTGTGGATTCCTGAGAGCCTCCCCAGTACTCTGCCTCTTCCTATTCCCATGATGTCTTCATCTATCATGGTATCTTCCTCCCTGCCCTCCCACTCTGTCCCTGTTCCTGCTTGACCCTCCCATTTTCCTATGTTCTCATCCCCCAATCCTCACCCTCTGCCACCCCACACACCCAGTCTACTCATGTAGATCTCATCCACTTCTCTTTCACAGGGTCATCCATGTGTCCCCACCTAGGGTCTTTCCCTGTTAGCTAGCCTCTCTGGAGTTGTGGGTTGCAGTCTGGCCATCCCTTCCCTCACATTTAGTATCCACTTATGAGTGGGTACATACTATGTTTGTCCTTCTGAGTCTGGGTTACCTCACTCAAGATGATATTTTGTCCAGTAACTGATAGAGGCAGATGCAGAGATCCATGGGCAGGCACCAGGCTGAGCTCCGGGAATCCAATTGATGAGAGAGAGGAGAGATACTGCAGGTGAGGGACGTCGAGGTCATGATGGGAGGATGTGCAGAGATGACCAGCCACACTAGTGGAAGCCCATGAACTGTGGACTGGTGGCTATGGAGCCCCCATGGGACTGGACTATGCCCTCTGGATACAGAAGATGGTTGTTTGGCTCGAACTGTTTGGGGGGCACCCAGGCAGAGGGATCGGGATTTGTTCCAGGTCTATGGGCAGGCTTCTGGAACCTAGTGCCTGTGGTGTGACACCTTGCACAGCCTTGGTGCAGTGGGAAGGGGCTTGGATCTGTCTAGGCTCAGTGTGCTGGGCTCTGCTGACTTCCCATGGGAGACCTCCATTTGGGGCATGTGGGGATGAGGGGTGGCTTGGGAAAGAGGGCTGGGGGGTGGGAGGAGGGAGGAGGGGGAATCTGTGGATGGTATGTGGAGTGAGTAGAAAATTTCTTAATAAAGAAAAATGAAAAAAAGGGAAAGAAGAGCTAGTCAATAATAAGCCTGAGCTAATGGCCAAGCAGTTATAAATAATATAAGCCTCTTTGTGTTTACTTAGAGGACGTGGTGAGAGATATTGTCCTGACTGCCAACCAGCCAGGAGACAGGAAAACTTCCAACTATATATACCTGATATTTATTTATTATTTATTATAATATGATAACTAGTTTATTATAAAAAATATGTTTGAGAGCTTATTTATAGTCAAGAATTCAGAAGTAAATGGGCTGGAGATGTAACTCAGTGGGTAGAATGCCTACCTAACATGCACAAATACCTGAGTTTGATCTTAGTGGTTCATGTGATGAGTTACAGCACTAGAGAGGTAGGAAAAAAGAGGCTTGGAGTTCACAGTAATCCTGGCTATACAGAAAATTCTGTCAGGCCTTTGCTACATGAGATCCTGTCTCAAAAACAGAAGATGTTAGTGGGTATGTTCTAGATGTCTTTAGTGGTCTAATATATTCTGCATAAAAATAATATTTTCCAGAACAAAGTATGCAATTCATTTCCTAACTTGGAAGACTACACACCCTAACCAGAATAGAATTTATCCTGAGAAATTTTCGTTCCATAGCTAATTGGCTTGAGGTTGAGAACTTAAATAAATGAATAATTATTTAGATACAATTTTAGGAAGCATTAAAATGTCAGTATAGCTGGGATCATCCAATATGGTTTTGTGACAAAGAGGACTTAGCTGACCTTGAACAGACAAATGAGCACAAGAAGCAATGAGGAACACAGAAAACAGGATGAACAAAACTAAGAAGGTAAGGCTGGTCACAGCCATATTCATGAAGTCATAAACAAACAGCCATGGCTGGGGCAGGCTATGAATTTGAGCTGCTAAGAAGTCACCAAACTGTGTGATAATCCTAAGAGTGAGTATCATGGAAAAGCCCTATGAAATATCTACACTATCCCTAAGAATAAGATAAAACCTGCCATGCCCAGAGATTACATTTTTACGCTCAATGAATATGTAAACCTAACAGACCCATCATCCTTGTCCCACGCACAAAGACTTTTGTACTACATAAAGCAAAAACCTGCCCTACATAGGCCAGCTAATGCTCCATTAAAATGACCATTAACAAAGGCAAGCCAAATTTAGTCTTAAGCAGCATGTGGCTTTTCCATCCCCAGTGACTACAAAGAAAACTAATGCCCTCGTTTCCAAAGAGAGTTGCTATAATTAAAGTCTTATTTCAATGACCCTAACCACTATCATAATAGATTCTGCTGTCAAAAGAGTAAGAGAGAAAGAATTCCTCTTGGTCAATGAGTCTTACGGAAGATACAAATGAACACTCATTGTTGCTTGTTTCATCAATATTTTTTTCAACACCAGTGTTCACCTTATAATTATACATGGGAAGTAATAAATAATTGCTTCCACAAATATTTGTAATCCTGCCTTTTACCCATCTACAGTTTCATAACCCTCTCTGCTTGTTAGGATAACGTCTTTCCTGACAGGAGACTCAGAAAAGACACCAGAGGTTTTATATTTGAGGTAAGAACTCTACTGCTTAATTCCCTTTAGTGGTTACCAATTATTAATAACAGCTCCCCAAAGAGCTGATATGCTTTAAAAGTCAAAGAATAACATCATATATACTTAAATTTATACATACTATCATTAAATAAATTTATGAAACATGACTCATTAGTTATCCATTAAAAAAGACTATAAATGTTCACTCTCCCGCAAAGCATCACTGTTCTTGGAAGAGATTCAGTCATATCTAACAAACTCACAACTGGTCTCGAGAGGTAGCTCATGGTTCTCCTAGGTGACTCCACAGTGCTGGACAGGGTAAGACACCTTTTGGTTTTACAATTGGCTTCTTGGGTGATTTCCAGTTACACTGAATTGTAGAGCACAGTGTCAGTGTCATATGAATACCACAGCTGAAAAACACTCTGGATAATAAGTCTGAAATAAAAGGAAGGAAATGAATGTGGGGGGAATCAAGTCACAAAGTCTACCACCAACACAAACCCAGAGGACTTGTGCTGAGACTGTAGCAATCGCAACGTCTTAGCTAAAGCACTGCTCACTGACATGTGTGGGGCTCTTAATTAACTCCGGTATCTAGCTAACATGCAAGATTCATCATGCATGCAGGTTTTTGTGAACTGGGTCATTCTGTGTTCTTCAAGGTCATCATTGTCTAAGGCATTTCCTGGAGAACAACCCAAGCACAGCTCGTGTCAGCTCCCAGGAATGGTTCATGTTTGGGATTGCTATGCCTACAATGGGAAGAATAATCTATGAAGATTTCCACCCATGCAGAAAGTAACCAATGCATATATTCTGGGTGATGATTGATAGATTCAAGGAAGTGGAGGAAAAGGGGAAATTACAATTATAGTCTAATACCTTTTCTTTCACAGCTGCTTTCTTCTTTTGCTAGTAAAAAAGTAATTCATTCTTAAAACCTCTCTGCTTCTTGAAAGTAACTGGACAGAGCCCAGAGCAGATACCAGATTTACAAGTAATATTTGTTAACTAAATCCTTTGCCTGTTCATTCTTATATACAATATATATGAGGGTGCCCCAGAAATTGGTTAGAAAGAAGTATTCTTCATCCACAGAGAGGAAACAAAGGTGCTTGTTCAGTCACCATGGAAATAAAAGCTTCTAAGGGGCTCAAAAGAAGCATTTGTGGTGATCTCTAGGCCTGGGAGTCTTTTATGTGACCTAGGGAACTGTTTTTCAGTTGCATCTAGTGTTAATTAATAAAAATTCTAGGACTGGAAAGATGATTGTGTGATTAAGAGCACATAATACTCTCAAAAGAAGACCTGGATTTGCAGAAGACCCACATGATATGGCTCACAACAACCTGTAACTCTAGTTCCAGGGCATATTGTGCCTCTGTTCACCACAAACACACATACACACACATAAATTTTTTTTTATTTAATTTACATTTAAATTCATAGAAGGAGTCTGGCAAGAAGACTCAGTGGTTGAAGTGTCTGTGCTCAAGCAAGAGAACCAGAGTTCCGATCAGGCGATCAGGTCCTCAGAACCTATTTAAATGTTAGGTGGTCATGGCAACTCATCTATGATCTGGCATTGGAAGGTGGAGACTGGCTCCCTAGGATGACATGCCTCATTGGTGAGCTCTCGGCTTCATTAAGAGATTCTACCTCAAAAAAATGAGGTTGGAGAACTATCAAAGAGAAATCTTGACATCATCTGTAAGACTGAACATACACCAGCACATATATGTGCATGCACCTGTAAACACACATGCACTCATAAGAGAAAAAATGACAAAAAAAGCCTATATGAATGGATGATGAGCATATTATCACCACTATTTTTAAAAAGTATTCATTCAAATGTTTAATATCATCTTGTAATTCTATAAATCAGCACATAAATCCATTTGAAGGGACTGTGGATGAGTTATCCAAGCATGTGCATTGATATTAAAGATTCAGGTGACAGCCTCTGCTCTTGACAACTTAAGACAACTGAGCATTCAGGGAGAAAATACCGTGTGGATACAGCAGTGTGTCTACAACTTACAGGGAAATAGAATAGATAGTGAATGTTTTATTTTGCCCAGAATAGCAATAAATTCAGTCTTTGCTCAAGTGTAAACATCGACCAAATATTTCCTTGGAGTTGCTAATAAGAAAAAAAAACAAAAAAACACTACTTCGAAGAATAGAGTACGTTCATTTAGTATCAATAATCTATATGAAATCTACTTGAACCATAGGTGGAAATAAAAACAACTATTCTTTTTCTTTCTTTTAACATTAGGTCATGGAACTAAAGGAGTATTTGAGCTTCTGTCTGGATGGCGGAGAACCAAAGAGAATTTACCCTTCAAAGACAGGGTAGCAGACGCCTATTCGGATGTGATGGTCACCTACACCATGACCAGCTCCCTGTACTTCATCACGTTTGGTATGGGGGCCAGCCCCTTCACAAACATAGAGGCAGTGAAGATCTTCTGTCAGAATATGTGTGTCTCTATTCTGTTGAACTACTTCTACATTTTCTCTTTCTTTGGCTCTTGCTTGGTCTTTGCTGGACAACTAGAGCAAAATCGATACCACAGCATCTTTTGCTGTAAGATCCCTTCTGCAGAATACTTGGACCGCAAACCTGTGTGGTTCCAGACAGTAATGAGTGACGGGCACCAACAGACATCCCATCATGAGACAAACCCTTACCAGCACCATTTCATTCAGCACTTCCTCCGAGAACATTACAATGAATGGATTACCAATATCTATGTGAAGCCATTTGTGGTCATCCTATATCTCATTTATGCCTCCTTCTCCTTCATGGGGTGCTTGCAGATCAGTGACGGAGCTAGCATCATCAACCTACTAGCCAGCAACTCCCCAAGTGTTTCCTATGCCATGGTTCAGCAAAAATATTTCAGCAACTATAGCCCCGTAATAGGATTCTATGTCTATGAACCCCTTGAGTACTGGAACAGCAGTGTCCAGGAGGATCTGCAGAGGCTCTGTAGTGGGTTCACTGCAGTGTCCTGGGTGGAGCAGTACTATCAGTTTCTGAAAGTCAGCAACATCAGTGCCAATAACAAGACTGACTTCATCAGTGTCCTACAAAGCTCGTTTTTAAAAAAGCCAGAATTCCAACATTTTCGGAATGATATCATTTTCTCTAAGGCGGGGGATGAAAACAACATCATTGCTTCTCGCTTGTATCTGGTGGCCAGGACTAGCAGGGACAAGCAGAAAGAAGTCATAGAAGTTCTGGACAAGTTGAGGCCCCTGTCTCTCTCAAAGAGCATCCGGTTCATTGTGTTTAACCCTTCCTTTGTTTTCACAGACCATTACAGTTTGTCAGTCACTGTGCCTGTTCTGATCGCAGGCTTTGGGGTTCTCCTGGTGTTAATCTTGACTTTCATCCTAGTGATCCATCCTCTGGGAAACTTCTGGCTCATTCTTAGTGTCACCTCAATTGAGCTGGGCGTCCTGGGCTTGATGACCTTGTGGAATGTCGACATGGATTGCATTTCTATCTTGTGCCTTATCTACACTTTAAATTTTGCCATTGACCACTGTGCACCACTGCTTTACACGTTTGTATTAGCAACCGAGCACACCAGAACACAATGTATAAAACGCTCCCTGCAAGAGCATGGGACAGCCATTTTGCAAAACATTACTTCTTTTCTTATTGGGTTGGTCCCCCTCCTATTTGTGCCTTCAAACCTGACCTTCACACTGTTCAAATGCTTGCTGCTGACCGGGGGTTGCACGCTTCTGCACTGTTTTGTTATCTTACCTGTGTTTCTAACCTTTTTCCCTCCTTCCAAAAAGCACCACAAGAAAAAGAAACGTGCCAAACGAAAGGAGAGAGAGGAAATCGAATGCATAGAAATCCAAGAGAACCCTGATCACGTCACCACAGTTTGAGGGTGGAGACTTTTCCTTTTCCAGTGTTGCACAACGATACAGGGCAAGTCAAGCTCAGACCTCAGCTGCTTGGGCTGGCCAGGGGTAACAAGGCAAGTCAGATCAAGAGTGTATATTATTCATGACATGTCCAAGGGTCTGCTTCCTGTGGGGGAGGGGGGCGAGGGACTGAAAGGAGGGAAAGTTCTCTGCAACCTTATTCTCCAGGAGAGACGAATTTCCAGACACTGAATCTTAGAGCTTTTCCAAGGAATGGATGGATCATATGTTAAGACAGAAGGCTGAAAGAGCTAAGGATTCAAAAGAAATGCTTAGAAGAAATGGAGAAGAGAGGTGGTGGTCTCCAGATAGGGGGAAAGACATAGGAAATGTCTAAATTTCCATGTCACTTTTCATGCTTGTTTTTAGAACAGTCAAAGGAAACCTATGCACATGGGAAGTACATATTTAATCCTGTCTAAACCAAAGGACCACCCAATCCATTTTGTGTGTACATATAAGTATATAGACACTTACACTTGTCTCTAGTGTACATTGGTGTTTGGGTGAAGGAAGGTGTCCATTTGCAGCTAAGGCTGGCCTTTCTCTAGAAAGTCAAATCAGCTTTAGCCAAATATATAAGCTCACTAGGGGGAGATGCAAAATATATAAATGGCCACTTAAAATCAACTCAACTGTCTAGACAGCAAGAGTGTTTTCAACTGTGTGATTAAAAAAAATAAACAGAAATTTGAATCCATTGAATTCTACATGTCATGTTGTTGGTCATTGAGATTCTAACTTTGGGACGACTTTACAAAAACATTAAAAGGTATTTGAATCAGTCAGCATGTGGACAAACGTTTAAGACTTAAAATAGTTGAGATGGCTTATCATTAGCCTTTAACATTTCTGCGTATTTGGAAGGCCAGCATGGCTGCTCTTGGATATCTCACCCACCTGCAAATGAGCACTTTAAGCATATTGTCCTTGTATACATATGTAAGGGTACACAGTATATGTGTGAGAGAGAAAGGAAGAATGAGATGACATTCCACAGTTACACGTTCTTATTTTAGATGATGAAAGTACACGGCTATGGCAGATAGCAATTAACAGAGGAGAAAGAAAGTGCACGGGAAACTCAGAGAGTGAAATGGGCCAATGCTATTCATCATCCCAGGATCAAACAGTCCTTAGTCTAAGAAAAACTTGTCAACTCTATAGACTCTAGTATGTTCCTTGGAATAAATTTGGAGCATTAACCCAGGCCATGATCACTATGGCTGCAGCATCATTTTGTAGTTTCTTGCAGTTATCATTGTCTTGTTAACTAGAAAGTAAGCTCCTACAGCAAGCATAGCTCTCTGCAGGGGCCATACTAACCATGTGTAATTGCTGCTGGATTCTTTATATTTAAAAAAAAAATGTACTGAAGTAATGTTTCCATTGAGTTAGTGTTTAAATCTGTACCCTAAGCAGGTACTCAGCCTGCTGGGTACTTACATGGACTAAGGCTGTTGTTATTCATGTTGGAGAAAGTTACTAGAAAATTCCTTTTCCCTGCCGTGTAGGGACCTAAAGAACAATTTATTTCCAGGTAGAATAAAACAAAAGCTCAACGATGATGCAGTCTGCTAACAACTCTTCCTCCCAAAGAAAGCTGATATTTTTCCACCCACGTGGGTTGTATAATTTAACTGCATTAATAATAATACCCTTAAAAGGCAAACTATTACTAGAACTCTTAGAAAATCCCATTCTTTTTACGGTGTTTGGAAATGATATTGATAGATTCGTGAAGCAAGAGCCCTGCTTTGGTAAACCATGCAGATTTTAAAATAGACATTTGTTAAATAAAATTTCAGTTTATGGAATGGCATTTGTTCTATTCTACCTTAAGACCACTGTGTTTCAATGTCTCCCTGACTGTGAGTGCAATAACTAGAATTAAGTAGGGAACATAACTGCCTATAGCCACATTTGATGTTTTCTCTGTATCTGTAAAGTCATGTCACAGTTAAGGCCAGCCTTTCATCTCATGAACTTCTGCACAAAGGAAAACTGGATTTCAAACAGTTGACCTCCAGGCCATGATCTTATATTTGAAGTTGAATTTTCTGAGCAGTCTTTGGAGTTGAAGAACAGAATTCCTCTTTTGCAGTTCCTCAACATTTATGAAGATTGCAATCATTTGCATCTGCTTGTAAAGACGGCCACTGAGACACTGAGGATTCCATGTCACTCCATTTCTGGCTGTATTCAGTGATACTCCATTCTCCCACCTATTTTGTATTTAATGTTAACTTATTTGAGTTTTATAATTATGATAAATCATTTTAGAAGCAAAGACAAACAAACAAAATGATTGCCAAGCTAATTGGCAATCTTGCCAATTGCCAGATTTATGGGAGTACAGCCACATATTCTGCCAAACCAATAATTTTAATCTCTCCCAATGCACTTGAATGGAAAAAGACTTGTTCATGTGTTAGATAATGTCTTTAAGGATCAAATGTGTAATATAAACAGGAATTTCTCATTGTCCAACTGGCTAGAGAGGTAGCATTTTAGAAGAAATGTTATCTTCTCCAGAACACCGTGATTTTCTCTAAGGAATTGTAGCAATAATTAACTGAAATGAAACTCCATGTTCTGGAAGAGTAATAGAATACCCAAAATGCCTTGACTTGGTCTTAGGAAGTAATTTGAGCCCAGAAAAATCTCACCAAGCATCATCCAAACCTTCCAATCTCACTGTGAAGCAGATATTTCCAAAAATTCCTTTACTGTATATCAAGATGCACCCTAAAATATGAGATTATGATTTGGAGGTAACCCTCCATTCTCAACCATTTCTGGTAGCTTGTATACTCCCCTCTCTAGTTTTTAAAGTTTATGCTCATTTTGTCCATTTGTGAAATATTGATGGCATTCAAGTTAGGAATTTAACTACTATCAAACAGTGGACCATTCAAACACTAGAAGTAATCAGTGAAAAATCTTTTAGATTTGTGGAATATTTTACTTTACTGCAGTGCAATTTTTCCTTAAAATGAGAGATTTTAAAAACTTGTGAACCCCACAGCTTTTCTTGTTTAAATTGGACTGTGTCCCCATCAGAATGTAGTTTATGTTCTACTCTCCTCAAAGAGGAACTCACCTAAATTATCAGACAAGATTTATCTAAATGTTCCATGGGTTAACCTATATCATGTGTAAGTCTGTTGAAAGAATGTGTACTTATGCATTGCCCCGTGCGTTCTTGCGGTGATCACAAACCTCTTTGAAGGCCGTGCATGGATAGTCTATGATAGAGCTTGTCTTTCTCCCAATTGACTTCCATTTAATTTCCACAGAAATAAATTCACGTTTTATCTTATGTTGTGAAAGGAAAAATTGTGACACACAAAGCTCCTATGATGCTATAATAGCCATTCTTGTACGTTGAACTTGAGTGTAAGAGCTACGTCCATTCTGTAATTATTCATTGCACTTTACCATAACAAGCCAATCCTTCAAGACTAGAGCTGGGGATTAACTATCGCCATTCAGAATGTGTGTGTATTTTTATACATTGACTGTAAATATTGTCGTTACAGTCAGATATTTTTATAACCAAATAGTTATAAATGCATGGCACAATGCATGCATGATTACTAATAGTATGTAGATTATTAAAGATACTATTTTTAAGATTATTACACATTTTATTAAAATTTTCATATCCCCTATTGTAAATGTCTCATAGGGTTTTGGTCACAAAGGCCTAAAGTCCACAGAAAACTTCATACTAAGGGAAGCAATCAGAAAATTGCCTTCTCATAGTGTCAACAGCGGCTGCCTGCAGTAAGATGGGCACTGGTTCTGGTCTCTTGGGTAAAGGATCAGGCAGAGTCTGCATTAGCTAGTAATTAAACATACTTACATGCTATGGGTTTGCGAAGGTCAGAGTCAACCAGAAGCTATCACACCTTAAGAATGGACTTGTGATGTTGTCTCCTGGGACTGGAGAATTCTGTGAGTTACTCTTCCCAGAGGGAAGTCTATGTTCAACCAGTTTTGTTGCTGTTTTGCACAGTGTTCTGATAATTCTTTCAAAGGTGGCCCTGAAAGTTTTCACTTATTTCAAGGGAATTTCAAGATCACTTTCATTCTCTTAAAAAAAAAAAAAAGACAAAATTCTTGCTCTTCCTGTTACAAAACAAAATCAAAAAAACAAATAAAAACAGTAACAAACAGTTATGACAAACTTTTACGGCATCAAATCAAAACATCTACAGCTCAGTTAGTATGCCCTTGAAATCTCCCCATCTCAAATGTAAACAGAACTCTGCATCATCTCTGTAGCAGGCACTTACGCCAGCCTTATTCCGCAATGATCTGCAGATACACTGCACATGAAATAATTACATTTTCTTTTGTAGCTTTTCTTTAGAAATGACTTCAGTGACGGTGACAAAAATTAAAGGCATTTTCATGACATTCAGCACACAGGTGCTGCATGTGAACGTAGTCATACTTCCATTTCTGTATCCAATGACCAATGTTCATCTGTGTCGTGTTGTAGACAGGAGAGCAAGAGGTAGTGCTCTGTGTTCCAAATGTTTTGAAATTCAGGTCGATGACATTTGGATGAAATTGGAAGGTACTGAAAGACAGACAAGGCTACCTCTAAGAAATCGAGAGAGGGAGGGGGTGTAGTAGGACATCACTGAAGTCCTTACATACTAGACTTTATAGGTTAGAAAAAAGCACAGAGGATCAGATGGTGCCTCAAAACTAGAGCTTCTTAACTGCTAGCAAACCTAGCTATGTGCAACTACTTCCCACTTGAAGATCGTGCTCTTGTCTGGAGGATTCAGACACTGAGCCTGATTCTAGATTTCTAAGCATGACCAGGTATGTAGACCCTTTTGTGAATGAGAGCAAAGCTGAAGGACTCTGGAGAGAGACTTCAAATTTAACACCCAGGAAAGTATTCATTTTCCAGATGCTGTAATACATATAGTGATTTTGGCCATTTTTATGTATTTAATGAGGGCCTCTTCTATATTGTTGATAAAGAAGTCATTTGCTTTTCTTGTGAAATGGCAAACAATTCAAAGAAAGACTATATGGAACCAGTATTGCAGAGTATGCGGCTAATGTATTGACCACATCTTAGCTCTTCTGCACCCTTAGGTTGTCAAGATAATAGGAGCTTAGGCTACACAGGGAGCCATTGCCAGATAGGTATTTTTAATTCAACAAAATATTTACAAATAACATCATTGATAATTTTGCACTTTTATAAACTATTGGAATCCAGTCCCTACTATTTCACCCAGCTGAATTTTCCCTAAGAAAGCTGGCATAGGTCAAACTACTTTTGAAAATTCTAAAAATCGAAAGGAAAGTTGAGAACATGAAAGTAGGAATGATTCACAAGCTCTTGGTAATTCTTGCTCCATTTCTTGGGTTCCTGTTCATCCAAGCTGGAGCTGGTATTAGTCATTCGTAATTGTGTTCCACTTTACTGTGTGGCTCATGGCATGCCTGATATGGTTTCCTTCCCCCTTTGTTTTTACAGTTACTAAAGCGACTCCATTATCTCCAGGGCTCTCTCAAATGAGTGGAAAAATAAGAGTTTTAATTTTTTGGAAGATTTCATTGAAGAGTTTCCTGGAAAGTATTAGGAGTGACCACCATGGGTAAAAGATAAGTGGAGCTTATTACAAATGTGTCACTTTCCAGTCCTGAATAGATTTAGTCTGGATTCTTGGTAAAGATTTTCCACAGCACACTGTGAGAAGCATTACATTAACTAAATGTGAGAAGGGAATAGAGTCTCCCACTGGAAATTGAAATCACTTCCACCATCAGAGCTGGTAGATTGCAAGTACTAACAGCCATAGTGAGAGACCTTGAAAAAGAAAAGAAGAAGCTTCTGTGGTCTTACAAGTCTGGTACAATCTAAAACATCTATGTCTATATAGATTCAGGATATCCAAGCATCTCCTCTCCTCTGACATAAAAGTCCATTACTGAAATATCCGACCTTCTGCTCACCAGTGTGAATATTGCAAGGTATCTGCAGAGCTTATGCAGCAAGCTTATCTTATGTTCCCATTAATTATGCATCTCCTTTCAGCAATGGACTTCCTTGCTCTTAAGTAGGAAATCTGTCACTGTTTGAAAAGGGCAGAGATCTCACTAAGCTACCTCACAGGGATACTTAAAGATAAAATGGCGTACAGCCTTTGACTAAATGGTAATATAATACATTTATTGCCCTTTCACTTTGTAAACTTGTACCAAGCTAGCTGCAAAATGAACACCCATGTGTGCAGCTTCACCTGTTCCTACAATTTGCTGTATGCATTCACCAATATGACATCACTTGGGGAAGCTGTTCAGTTATCTCTTCACGGACATCCCAGAGAATGAAAATTAATTCAGAAAGAGTATTACTTTAGAAAGAGCATTGCCTAGGATTAACTTTGAGACAGCAGCCTGTCAGCAAGATGCGTCACCAAATGCTCTGTGACTAACTTCAAAGAGCAGCCCATGTGCTCTTCCTTTCAATGGACAGGAAAAATCAATCCGTGTCTTTAATAATGTTAAGCAAATATGAAACAATAAAGATACATTTACATCCTAAGGGTTTTTCCCCCAGTAGGAAACTACTGTTTTTACCCATCAGTTAGGATTCTGAAACACTGGCTGATGAAATCAGTGAGGAGAAAATTTCTAGGAAGGACCACCTCACCCTCAGACTTAAAAAAAAAAAAAAAAAAAAAAAAAAAAAACAGGCGTGAAAGTAGAAACTGAGTGTTTTATTTCTTTTCCTTTCCCAAAAGGTTCCCAATCCTGGCTCAGTAAGATGCTAGTCTCTACAAAAAATGAAGAAGAATGAAAACACACATGGAATTGTAAGGCTCCAGCATCTTACCAATACAAGCCACATAGTAAAATACCACTGCCAGTCAGCTTTGGCCATGAGAATGGATTTTTAATATTATATTCTTTTTACATATAGGTTATCTGCATTCTTTTTGTAAAAAAATAAAAAGCCTTATATATCACTCCCAAGTTCCAACGAATGGATTAAAGACACCTGTTCCAGAGTTCTGCACACAGGGCTCCACCCCTAAAGCTACCTTATTTACAGAAACTTGAAGGAAACAAATTTAATACCAAAAAAGTGTGACTTAATTTGTAGTTCAGTGTCAATATCTTCTCCAAAAATAGTGGACTGCTCAAATACACATCTTAGATCTTACTAAGATGACTTTAAAATGTCATTCCAGTGTTTTCAATTTGCCCAAATTGTGTCAATGGTCAAGATTTATATGTATTTCCATTCTAGGCAAGCAAAATAAAGTAATTTTAAAGTGAGTTTTTTGTAACTGTCATAGGAATAAATAAATGAGATTCTCTCTGTATTTTCATGTGTAAATGTACATTCAATAGCTGAATGAATCTCACACCTCGATGAACAGAAACTGTATTCTAAATATTCATTTCATTATTATTTTCAAATTTTGGATGTCTTGACTTCACAGTGTACATAGCATAAGCCGTGCATTTTAAATGCTTCGCTATATATAGACATATGTATGGTTTTATTTTTGCTGTTTTGTTTTGTGATGCTGGGTCTTGTTGTGTAAACCTGATTGGCCTTGGACTCAGAGATCCCCTACCTCTGTCTCCAGAGTACTGGGATTAAAAACATGGGCTACTACACCCAGGCAGGGGTTTAATCCCTATTGGAGATTTGTTTTCTTTGTTGTTTTTGCTTGCTTGTTAAATAATTTGAGATGGGGTCTTTCTATGCAGCCCCAGCTGACCTGGATCTCAGTGTGTATCCTAGTCCTGACCCAGAACTCATAATCCCCATGCCTCCCCCTCTCGCCAACCTCCCAGATGCTAGGATTACAGATGTGCACCATCACTCTTGGATTCTTTCATTCTCTGAATTTTTAAGAATATTTTTCTTGGGCTTGGAAAGATGATTTAGCAGTTAAGAGCACTGATCGCTTTTCCAAAGGACGAGGGTTCAATTTCCAGCACCCACATGGCAGTTCATAACTGTCTGTAATTCTAGTTCCACGGGATCTGACACCCTCACAGAAACATACATGCAGGCAAAATACCAATACATGTAAAATTAAAATAAAAAGAAAAAGACATAATATTATTTATTACAAATTATACTATAATGTACATCAGCCAGCCCTACATAGATAAGATAATTCACTAACCAAAGCAAATTAACATGTCTTGGCAGTCTTATAAGACATTTTCATGAAACCCTAAGTCCATAAATATCTCTACAATATGTAAAGTAGGAATCTATTACCAAAAATAGCCTCAATTATTGTACTAATTTAAAATCTGAAGTAATGTGTAGTTGCCACAAATAAATTCTGCCCAAAATTTATTACATTATCTGAGCCAATTCTCTCTGAAATTTACTGCATCATAGTGAATTCCTACCATGACAAAAGGTCTAAAAAAAAAGCTTTAATTCATCATTTTTCTCACCACTCGAGAAAACCAACAATAACTAAGACAGCGACCCCCTAGGCAGCATGCAGGCTTAGAAAAGGAGACCTATTACACTCCAGAGCACACAGCTCCACATCTGGATGAAATTAAAGGCCTTCAGCAATCGCTCCCAAGTCCATCAAATCAAGAATTGTGAGGAATACATAGTTAGCCCACATGCATGAGAATCAAGTGCACCAATCACAAAGTCATATTGAAACAAATTAAGAGCACACAGCCCACATCAAAGGGTATCGCTGTAGCCTTTGTCCTCAATAACAGCATTTTCAGAATTAGAGCCATGTGCTTTGGAATGTCTCATTTTGGGCAACTTCTCACAGTTTTTTAAAAACAAAGATGCTCTTGCTACTCTGAGGGAAACGTTTTTTAATTTATTCATTAGCTGTTTCCCATCTGGGATTTAATATTTTAATTTGTAATTAACTTTCTTTTCCTCTTTGGGTAAAATTATTTTTCTGTGTAACAACTAAAATGCTTTTCCTTTGGTTAAGAATAAGCATGACTTGCATGAAGTGAAGTCAGAATTTAGCAAAATATAAGATAGATATGTGAGCATGCTTGCAAGCACACAATTCAGAGAAAGTTTGCTCATTGATACTTTATGTGCATCAGGCAAAAATTCCCCTCATGGTTTAGTCTTAGAAGCTGCCACAACATGAGGTATTCCTCTTAGAGAACATTCAGTAATTATATATTCAATGATAAAGGTTTTTTTTAAAAGAATCCTGAAGCTTCTCACTTGTGATCTATGTGAAAAGTGAATTTTTTTTAGCCAAATCAACCTGTGAAGAACTATACCTAGAATATATTTTTATTTCTTGTTTTCTTGGAATATTCTCTCTTATATCCAGTTATACATAAATGAAGAACAATTTTATGTTGGTTCACATAGCCATTGCTGAGAAGCTGAAATGCTGCCCTCGAGAACTTTACCCAGTGTGATAGTTAAATATAATTTTTAAAAATCATATCAGTACAAAAATTAAAACAAATGGAAAAGTTTTTAAATATGTGAAAAGAAAGATTTGGTTTGGTGTCTTCTTGTTAGTTTATTTTGGCATTTTGGGGGGAAAAAAGATTGAAAGAGATCAGAAAATTTTTGTCATATCTAAATCTCTAGGAGGTTTCAAGCTGTTCTTTACTCCTCATGGCCTAGATTTTATTTATGTCCTCTCTCAATGGCTTGGATCTTGTTCATTTACTCAGCAATTATTAGGGGTACCTGCACTGACATCTTAAAAAAGAATTCAGAAGAATACCAAGGTTAGCTCTCCCAACAGGGTGGCTAGAGGAAATTCCTTTATGTGATATTTAAGGAAACTGGAGAGGGAACCATGAACGTCTACACTAAGAGTCTAAATGTGGAACAAGAAGAGGGAGAAAAGGTGTTGGGGGTGAGGACTGGACACATGGTCCAGGCTAAGGCTCTGGCACCGCCTCACAGAGTGGGTACAGGTGCAACAGAATATATTGTGAGGATGCTGTAAATGCTTACCAGGACCTAAGGGGGTTATTTGCAATGAGAAGTGCATTCATGAAGAAAAAACTCTTTTCTAAAAAACATTTCCAGGCTTAAAGTTATGTTCTTACACAAGTTAAACACAATAGTCTTCATTTCTTTACTTCTGTAGCTATTATTAAAGTCAGGTACTCAAACCTCAGCAACTTCACATAAGATTTTTGTTACTTAGTATGCAGTGGTGCCAAGAGCCAGTTTCTGGCAAGGGCTTGTGCATATGCCAGCCGCTACATGGTCATATCATATGCATCATGTGGCCCTCCAAGGGCAGCCCAGAAATATGGACCTGGATAAACTGGGTCCCAAAGCCTCCAGGAAAGGCAACTCAAGCATTCCACTCAAGTTAATCATACAACAGAGTCCGGATTACTATCCTACTCTACAGATTGTTTCAAGGAAGAGTCCATTGTAACCGGCACTGCTTCTGGGGCCCAATGCCTCATCTTTTCAAGTGTGCCTGTGTAACAGTTGTCTGTACAGAGAAGTCCAGATACAAATGACATGAGAAATAACCACACAGCTTACCCCTCCACCTGCTCATCCTCTTCTACATGTAAAATTTAAGACAGCGAGTTGGTTAAAATGCTCCACATCATATTTATAATTTTATTACATTTGTTTGTTTGTTTGTTTTGTATGTAGGAGCACACTCATGTCACCCCATACATGTGGAGGTGAGAGGACAATTTTCAGGAGTAGGTTCTCTCCCTTCATCCTGTGCATCCCGAGAACTGAACTCAGGTCACCAGGCTTGGTTGTAAGCACCTTTATCATCTGAGTCATCTCACCAGCCCTCAATCACTTTTGTAAAATCACTTGCATATGATTCACTTTTACTTTTTCTTAAAATCATGGTGAAAAATAATATATGCGCATAATTTCTAAGTCTAGAAATAACTCATTTGAATATTAACAACTTCATTTTATATGGTCGAAGTATTAGTCATAATAATTGGTATTCCAAATAAAACAGCAACCCCAATTATTTTTTTTGTTGCTGTAATAAAGGAAGTTATGAGGAGGACATTTTAACCTTTGAATCTGAAATAAGAATTTGCCAGTGGTGTCAGTTCGAGTTATAGATAAGGTATAGGGAGGCTATCTTTCAGAATGTTTGAAAAGGTCCTTTGCTCATAGAATTGGGGTAGACACTAAAACCACCAACCAAGTGGTCAGAGGAGATGGATGTCAGCAAAGCCACTCCAAGGGATTATTTGAATAATGCCTGAATTTAACCAGTCAGTGATTTGCAAAGTCTTCTGGTCATCAGTATGACCCAGAGAAATCTTTCAAAGTCCTGAGTGCCCTGACTGTCTATCAGCCAAGGAAGTCAGTAATTTGTAAGTCCCCTAGTAATCCCTTATGCAGCTGAATTTCAAAAACTAGTAGCTAGACCACAGGCCAAACATGCCAACCCAATAAACACTTACAAAGTGATTACACTAAGCAGAGAAATATTGTTAAGGTCCCAAACAAGGAATGATGGTACTGTATCTGTGAACCACCATTTAGGGTGCTGAGGCAGGATGATGGCAAATTTCTCAAAATCATTCTTGATAACATAGCCAGACCCTGTTATAAAAAAAAATTAACACAGCAAAATAATAGGGGAGGGGTATCCATTATTATAAGTCAGAAATTTAAATCCCAAAGGGCATATCCAAAGGTAAAGAGCTAATTCTAGCAGGGGCAAATCCAGAGACAGTACATTATTTTTACCATTAAAACCGGGAAACTTACAGACTGGGTATCCCATGTGGCAGGAAGCCAACAAAGTCATGGGAGCCAAGGGCAAGCAGTGTCCCTGGATCTACAAACACAGCCTAGCTTCAGTGTTGATCAGAAGAAGAGTGGGAAGTTGGGTATGAGAACCCATGAACATGGGACCAAAGATTTTATATTTAATTCTGTGGACTCGAGAATTCCTTATCAAAATTATTATTACCAGAGCCAAGACATACTGATATTATTCTTTGATGATATCAATTTAGACTGACTGGGTGATAAAAGACCTGGACCTAAGGACATAAGTTAGCAGAATATTGTGTCACAGTGGAAAAATGTAAACTTATTGGCCAGAAATAAGGATGTGATAGCAAGGAACTGAAGGAGAAAAATGAATGCAATACTGTGAGGGAAAAGCTTCCACCCACAATATAACATAGACATCAAAGGTTTATTTCTGTTGTCCAAAGCACCAGAACATGGTGTCACACAATTAAAAATTAGCCTCTGTACTATTTCGAATTAATAAAGTACCTTCAAAAGTCTGTTCAAATCTGTGGTTTTGGTAGGGTACTACTATAGGAGCCAATCATTCATATTTTGCATAATATCCTCACTGTAATATTCTAATTTTATTTTAATAATCATATTTCTGTGATTTGAGCATGCAAGTACCATGTTTTTATTTACAGAGCTCTTAAAACAAAATATCAGCCTAAAAAAACAAAAACAAAAAAATCAGGAAATCATTTATCTACATAGTGGTTGATCTGATCCTCTAACATATTTACACCAGGGGAAAATGGTTTACGTTATCAAAATTCTTTAACTACAATAAATAAAAGATGAGTCAAAAGAGGAAGAAGGGAAATATTAGAAAAATAAGTAAGTATATCTGATCTTTTATAAGAATGATAGACACTCAGGAACATGATATATTCTTATATGCATGTCTTGTAGCTAAGAAATCTGTACCATCTAGATTTGTCTGCAATGTTTACAATTGTAACAATTATGTTAACTTGATAAGCAAATGATTCTTAAAATGTTGTGTTTCAGGGAGGTTAGCATTGCAGGCTTAGATATAAGATCATTGGCTCTCCTGTGACCTGAGATTTGGTCATGAATCACCTCCTGTGGAAGATTTGTGTAAAGTATATGTCTTATTCCACCATGTAGATATTGTTTGTAACCATTAGCACTGATTAATGCTAGACACGTGTATATATAAAGTTGTTTTCACAACATATCCCTACACAAAGCAGTTGCATAATTCAATGGATGCCTCTATTTACTGCAACTCTTTTCCTGTCGATACCAGAAATGTCAAACAGTCTTCCTTTATAAGTACATGCTTTTCAACACAGCACTTCATCATCCGGGGTCATTCAGACACTCCTTGCACGCTCCTCAGAGAGCAAGTGGATAGATGAGGACAGTGTGTGTAGGTGGCAGCTTAAGAACATAAACGCTTTGAGATTTACTGGCACCTTGCCACACAGTGTGGTGGCTGCAGGTTGGTCATCCGCCTACCTTTGTGCTGTACCCCTTGAGTCATAGCTTTCACCAGGTTGCCAAAATTACATAATTGTCCATTCACTCAATTACTCACCAAGCCTTGGACTCCATGAAAAATGTTAAATACCACTCATGTGCCAGGGTCTGAGAGTGAATGCAGAGAGGAGAAGAGCACAGATGCCCAGCAAGGATTGTAGAGTGGTGAGCTATTAGGCGAAGTAACTGTCCACAGCTAGCAGAAAGAAAGTGATGCCGGTGACGCACGAGCTCGAGCATGTGCCATGCCGCCTGGCTAACTGCTCGGACCTAAATGCTTGACCTCACCATCAGCTCTCCAATGCAGGAAGTCTGGGATAAGGCCTGAATTTTTTTCATGTCTAACAAGCTCCCAGTGGATGCTGAGGTGACTGGCCTGTGGAACCTACATTCACTTTTATGTCATAGATATAGACGTTTGAAAAGAACAGGAGTTTAACAAGGCATGTTGGTGATAAATCTAAAAGACCACACGGCCTAAGTGCTCCATGGATGACATTCCAGGCTGCAGAAAGGAGCCCCCATCACTTGAGACAGTACTTGCCACATCAAACTGATGATGAGATTCATCTGGGAAGCTGTTACTATCTCTGGGTATAAATCTAAGGAATCTGTGTTTGTAACAAATCTGGCAAGAAGTCTTCTCCTATTAGGAATAAAACTTACATACTTTGAACTAAGGCCTATAGCATGAAAGATGATCATTTCTACAGAAGTTCTGGTATAAAGGGTTTAACTGGAATGTGTAAGGTGTCCAATAATACACAGGACCTGACTTAAACCTAAAATAGGACAACAATGGATACTCTCGATACAGCAGATCCCATGCAATGCTCTCCATTGCTTATAAGAAATGCATACCTAGCAATGTATCTGCTCTTTTAATTTGCTGAATCTGACAACTCTAAGGCCATGGTGTTTGTCAAATGGCCAGGAGGACACCAGAAAGAATAAAGAAGAAAGAACACTATTAGGCTTAATAGACCAAGTGTTATCTTCACATGGTATGGAAGAGACTGAACGCACAGTAGCTTCAGTGTAAAGGTCTTTTGATTGCATAAATCTTCCCAAGGTGCTGAAGTATCCAGAGCAATGTTATACGAAGTTTGCAAAGGTCAAACATTATTGTATCATTTTTTAATACAAAGAAACCACCTCTCAATTCAGTCCAGCTGACAGCCAATGCTAACCATCATAGACTCCAAGTACACACTCCAGGCTTAAATCATGCAATAAATCCCAGAGCATTTGAAAATCTTTCTGCCCCTGCTTCATCAAGAACTGCTACCAGAAACTTAAATGTCATTAATGCTGGCAAAGGGTAGCTTCCCCAGAAGCACTCTGGCACCACACCAGAAACATTCCATTTCTCAAATACATTTGACCATGGAGCATCTTAACACTACTGCCCATGCATTTGGCAGACACTGAGTCATGCCTTGTTAGAAAAGCGTGTCCTTGTTGCCAGAGTATTGATATGAAAAGTGTGTCCTTGTTGCCAGAGTATTGACATGCCTTGTTAGAAAAGCATGTCCTTGTTGCCAGAGTATTGATAGGTATATATTAGAAAGCTGGAAAAGAAGGTATTCTCAGGTCAGGGTGAAAACCAGTTATTTCCTAAAGAACACTGATGCTTTGTAGATAACCACTTGCAGAATAGACTGCTTAAGGGGAAACAACTCATTGGCTTGAGTAATTGGAGAGTCTGGACCTCAACAAAGACAACTCAAATCTGACTTCCCCTTTCATTCCAATAGAAGTTCAGGATGAGGAAAGTAACTAAATAGAAATCATGTTGGACCAGACCAAAAGGGATGTGAACAAAAGATTACCAAGTAACCAACTATATGAATGGATATTTTCATATTTCTGAAAAGTGTTATAGTTTCATAAAAATACGGTTGGGAAATCTTTGTTTTAACACACTTGGAGCAAGTTATTCCTTTGAGAACTTTAACAAATAGAAAAAGAGAATTGCCTACAAGAGAGAATTGTGTGTGTTGAAGATGGTTGTGACCAGTAAATGAATACTTTATTTAAACCTTCTAACAAAAGTGATGTTTTAGTTCTTAGGTCACCAAAGGTCAATGTGGACATACCAAAACAAGAAAGAATTGTAAATTTTGTATCAGGTGATATCAGAGCTCCCCTGCAAATGTTCCAGGTAGTATTCTGTTCATTTGCTATTGAAGCATTATAACTAAATACAGCTCTTGGTTGTTTTTAACACTGGGAGGTCACAACCAAAGTTTAAGAAACAGAAAAACTATTAATTGGAAGAAACTGTTCATCAGTTGGAAATGAAGGAAATCACCTAAGATGAGGGAATAGAAAATGAAACAGGCTCCTGGATCATTCACTGGATCATTCATCCAAAAAAATGTTTGTTAAGTATCTGGAATGTGCCACAGTATCCCAAATTCTGTGTGGTAGGCAAAACAATATTCAAATAGTTCAGAGGGGTAAATTAGATCTTAGCAGAAGATCTATTTGCTTTAACTAAATGAAACATTTTCCAAAACCATCATATACCTGCTTTTAACCTAACCTAAAACCCACACAAACTTCCCAGTTAATATTTGTTTGCCATAGTAAATAGAAATTACTAGTTTTTTTCTGTTTGTTGGAAGCAAGTATCAACAAGGGCCAGAGGTATTTGAGCAAGATGTTGAGGTTAAAGGCAAGGATACCCTACCAACTAATTAGTGTATTAACAATGCAAAAATGATAAGTCACAAATCCACGTGTTTGAAATTAATATGCTTAGATATATCAGTTAATATGAATACAAAAAGTTTCTAAAAATTGCAACTTATCTCAAAAGAAGAAATACTAGCAAATAGAATAGTCCAGAAAGAATTGAGACCCAAATAAGGAGATTGGCAGATAATGCTATTGTGTGATAGCAACCTTGCAAAGAATGTGAAATGAAGTCCTCTTCTCATCTGTTGCCATTTCTGCTTAGCATGGCAATAACCAAGGGATGGTGGCTTAAAGAAACAAAACAATGTAACTAACCTGGGAAAATAGAACTTGTAGAGGAATGGAGAAAATAATCTCCTGGCTTTTTAACCTGGTGTTTGTCTATTTGGCATTTACTACTGGAGGGATTATGAGATAGATCTCTGTAGACAGTGGCTGATGGGTGTCCACAGAGGTGAGGAGTGTAGAGGCACCAAGTGACAGGCTTTCTTCTTCATTGAGTTTCACGGTGGAGAACACTACCTTTGTGGGTTTGGGCGGGGAGGGGGGCTATGCTTTGCTAAAGAACTGATAGAGATGTACATAAAACTAATTCAAGTCTATAATCTTAAGATTTTGTCACAGAAGAAGCAACTAAATTTTGGGAACACAATTTTAATACAATTACCCACTTGGATACAACTCAAGCAAACTGTTTGAACCATCTAGTGGATGTTTAACCCTGTCATTTGTCTGTTTGGATATATTTATAACCTGTACTTCACTAATAGCCCTGTGACATAACCAACAATATTCTGGGAAATTGGAAATATGAGTTTAGAAAAAAGAGATAAGATAATAAGGGAAATATTGAGAGATTGGGTAGAAGTACTAATAAAAGAGAAAGTGTTGCAGGAAGGATGAAGAAATCTACAAACACATGGCTATAATCTCTAAATTAGGATAAACAATGATATAAACCATGAAATATTATCAGAAAAGAAGGTGTCTTGTCAGTTGATTTCCAAGTTAATGTATGTTTTCATGTCTAAAGTGCTCAAAATTGCTCATTTATTTTTAAATTGTGTTATCCTTGACTTTTCTTAATAGATGACTTTATGCATTTGTATCATATGACTGCACTGAACTTGTATTAAATCATGGCGGGGATAAAAAAAAAAGTACTCCAGGGTGTGATCTCTACCATTAAGTTGCTTGTAATCTATAAGAAGATGCTCATGGACAAACTGGTCACACAATGAAACGCAAAAGGTGATTCATGGTAATTTGTATACTTGAGAACTATGAGCCTTGATACTAGATTGTCGTTTTGTAAAGGAAATGAACTTCAGGTACCTTGAAGAAGATGTTGGATCTACCCAGCACTCTGCAGACCTTAACTCTGAGTGAAAGACTCATGAAGAAAGAGAGACATCACTCAGTCTGCCCTCCACCTTCTCACTTCTTGTCTCGCTTCATTTTGCATTCTCCTAAGTATCAAATAAATACCCCTGACAGAGGCTCTGCTTCCAGAGTGTCAAGAGTACAGGCATGGGCAACCTCACAATGAATTTGAATGCTCCCTTGCCTGTGAATTCCCTCCCAGTAATATTAGCTTATAGCCAACCACCCCTTAAATATTTCTAGGTAGCTTAAATATTAACAAAAGCCATGCTCTCTTTTGGTAGCACAGGGATTGTGTTCACATCCTAGCTTGTCAATAGAAAGAAAAAGAAATACATTTGAATCAGAAAAATGTTAGCACGCATCCATAATAATAAAACATGGATGATTGCTATCACAAGGAAGTAAAAGATCCCACCCTAAGCCATTTTCTTCTGGAATTTTTGGGATATGCACACAAGCACACAAAGCCAGCCTGGCATCTGCATGAGTAAAATACATCATCCAATGCTTAGAGCATTGCCTTCTTCCCTCTATGAATAATTTATTAGCATTGTACCTGCTGTTTCCAAGTGCACAGTAATGATTTATTTATTAGTCTTAAAAACAGATGCTCATAACAAGACACAGGTTCTGTAAAATAGGTAACTAGTTCTCACAGTTGGAAGAGTTAAGGGGAAAGTGATGGGTTTAAATCCTCAGGTGTAAGGATGAATAGATGTTTTCTATACAAACAGTACTGGTTTTGTTTTATTCTCTCACAGAGAAAATTCTCTTCTTGTGAGTTTTCTCTCATGTCAACCCTGCCTCGTCTTCCTTAACGTTTGTTATTTAATTCTATCCAGAGGAATTCTGACTCAGACAGAAAATAGAGCATAGTCATGTTGTCCATTCAGGATCTCATAGATTTTGTGTCCTATGACTCAGTTAATAGATTCTCTCCAAAATAATAAATGTTATGTTGAGGAAGTAGCATTGAGTTATTTGCTTTTAAATGCATTATTAATTATCCACAGTTTTCAGCATGTGGAAAGTTCTGTGAATCAATGACTACAGGTAACAGTGTCTTGGAATATGTGATAACTTTTATTTCTACTGTTTTGTGTCTGCCTTGCTGTCTGCTGAAATTGCTACTTACATTTTTACCTGCTGGAACTTTAAAAGCAAGGTGATCTGAATTCATCTGCTATTTCTGTCATACGCATTGTGTGTCCTACATAGGGAACTGGCTTGTGGGAAGAGGTGAATATGGCAGGCCACAATCACTTTCTTCTTGCATCTGCCGCTACATCTAAAATTGGGGGTACCTGCTACCTAGCCATGTTTCTGCCTGAGAGCCTCTCCTCTCCTATAAACACGATGTTTTCCTCTGGCCTCTCCTTTGTAATCATTCCAGCCAACAGCTTCGAGGGAACATACAGGAGACTAGGTGGGCAATCAATTAAATCTATCTGGAAACGAGCTGACCCTGAAACCCTCCCACTTACAAGCAAAACCAACTGGAATGTGCTGAGAACTGTTTTGGATGGATTTGGGTCTGAGACATGTGACTGTGTCCACAAATGTGCCGCCCTCATTCCTCAAGGAACCAATCCTGAATGCACAAAACTGCGGGTGGATCAAGAAGCTATTATAAATGAAATAAACTTTAGTGGCTTGTAAAGAGTGCTTAATGGCATCTGTTAGTGTGTTTAATATCTGTGTGTTCAGCATAGAGCCATCGTCATTGTGTTATTCAATTTACAGCTTCGTCGTTACCGCCTCCCAGGTGAAACCGTTAACTCACTCAGCACATTGAACACTAGGAAACACTATGGGTTAAGGTGGTATGAAACTAAGCCAGCCTTGCAAGGCAATACCGGAAAAAAAAGTCAGAATGCAATAAAGAAATGTCGTTGTTACAGGTGACTACTTCATGCTGTCTGGATCCTTGTTTATTAATTGGGTACAGAAGCTATTCTTGCATCTTGTCGTGGTCAGGCAGTATGATGCCAACACCATCCAGGACAGAAGTTTTAAAAGGCAAGTTGTTTTTAAATGGTATAGTGATCTGGTAGGCGGCATTTAAAAAAAAAAAAAACTCTATATAGTGAATGCCTATCTATTCTTACTATCTAAAGAGAAAAATAAAATAAAATTTCCTTTTTCTGCTGGACCAAGATTATTTTCAAAGGCAGTATAGCACACCAGCACACAGTATCCCTCTGGTACAAAACTGACGAGAGAAAGGAAAATGTGATCCTTCTAGAATCTTCTAAAACAACAGAAACAATAAGTAATGTTTTTAAGGTGGAACGCCACTGTGTGAGTTATATCTAGGTTTTCTCTAAAAGATAATTTTGGCCAGACCTAAAAGACTCAAAGTTTCTCTACGCAGCCTCGATCATAAACTTTGCTTCAGCTGTGGCAGCTTGGATTCATTACCACTTAGTGGTAGCACTATTTAAACATGAATATTCCTGATATGAAAAGCTATTATAAATATATACAGATTTATATAAAGGTTGATGACTATAATGCTTTTTTATACTAGAAAAACCATGTGAACAGAAAATCAATCTGATGAATGCTGTTAATCATTTTAACTTTTTTATTAGGTATAAAATGTTCATACAAATATTCTCTCTATAACTTACCAGAATTTATCAGCTTGTATAATTTTTATAAGCAGAAGAGTCTGGTTTTCTAATTAAAGTTTTGTCAAAGAAAATGAATTGTGTGGTTCTTTCTCCAAGGAAGCATGCTATTAAAGTGTCAAAAGTTATGTCCAGGTCTTCTCATCTCCTGCCTGTGGTTTAGAGATGAGACTGCGTGAAGCCAGCACATCTGGATTGAGGGCTTGTTAAATCCCAACTACTATGGAAACAATGAAGTCACATCTCACTGCTATCACAACACACTAACACCAGAACTTCCATGGAACTAAAAGCTGATTAGACCAAAGGCATCATCACATTTACTTAAAAGTTACTTTTCTTATCTACTCCCTAAGTGGGCAGAATGCTAACATCATGTCCCCAACATTGCCAGGCTTCCTCCAAAGAACTCTGGGAAATGTATATCTAGCAAATCTTTGTTATTCCATTCCATACCCTAAAAGAGAAAATGCCCATACCACTGAATTTCGGCACCCAAGTGTCTTCATATATTAGTTACTTTTCATCTTACTGAGACAGTGTCTCTGAGGAAAACGACTGAGGGAAGGACATGTTTATTCTAGCTCATCACGGCTGCAAGCCATGCTGGGAGGCGTTTGAAGCATCTAGCCACATTGTGTCCTTGTGCCAAGAAACAGCGATCTGGCATTTTGCTCAGCTCTCTTCTTTTCCTTCAGTCCAGGATCCCAACCCAAGAAATGTTGACACATTTAGAGGCCTTCCCACTTCCAATAACCCAATCTAGAAATTCCATCCAAGATGTGCCCAGAGGTGTCTTTCTATGGTAATTTTAAACCCTATCAAGCTGGCAGTCAAGATCAACCAAGACACCCTAGAAACTATGAGTAAGAATAATCAAAAAAACATGAACTAAATAATGTGTGTTAGCATGGCCACTGACGAATCCCTTATGAAATCATTAATTAGTAAGGAAAATATTAGCAGTTTTCTTCTCCAAAGAGTCTGCCTTGCCAGTGTGCTAGGAACAAGTTGTTTGAGAAAAATGAAAAGACTAAACAAAAAGAATCCTCCAAAAAGATGAAGTTTAAGGTTGTGCATCATTGTAATTTCACTCCCTTGATCTTGAAGGCTTACCTGTTCCCACTAGCTTCCTATTCCAAGTGTTCTAGCTAGACATTTGTTGCTGTTATAAACAGTATGACCCAAAGCAACTTGGTGAAGAAAGACAGGCTGACTTAAAGGTTATAGTCCATCATCTAAAGAAGCCAGGGCAGAAGTTCAAGGAAGGCATCTGGAGACTGGGACTGAAGCAGAGACCAGGGAAGAATGCTGCTGACTGGCTTTCTCCCCAGGGCTTGCTCAGCCTGCTTTTTTATACAACCCAGCATCACCTGCCCAGGGGTGACACCACCCACAATAGGCTGGGCCCTCCCACAGTAACCATCAATCAAGAAAATGTCCCACAAACTTGCCTACAGTCCATTGAAATAGAGACATTTCCTCAACTGAGGCTTCCTCCTCCAAGATGATTCTAGTTTGTATCAAGCTCACAAACATAACTGCTCACCAGGCCTCTGGAGAATGTGATAAATCCTGTAAGCTGGAAGTGATGAGAGTCCACTTAGTCATTACCACTTGAGTAGGACTTAGCAAAATATGAATTGTTTCTTCCCCACCCCACCCCCACCAAGGAGCAATGCATTATTGCTCTAACTGGAATAAAGTGTAGCTTGAAATAATTTTCACCTCTTCAAGAACGTGTTAAAGTCCAAAAACCACTTTTAAAAGTCAATCACTTGTAAGTATTTGCAATAGAAAATCTGCATGTCCCAAAATATACATAGCTGAAAGGTTAAATGTCATAATAGGCTTCAAAGCAGTGTTACAGTGAGTGGGAGGGCTGGTGGGAGGTATCTCTATGTAGTCCAAGCTAGCTCAAACTCAGCATCGTTCTGCAGGGTAAATATTTTAACATTAAAACAAAACTGGTCGAGTTAGTATGTACTATTGCCTATAACAATGAAGAACTAAGCTGCCTATCTCAGCTCTAACATTGGCATTATAACCTCTGGATCTTTACTTATGAATTAACTAGTTCATACTTCACAACACTGACAGTCTAGATGTGGATGCTGTGCAGACTACACTGGGAATGTTGTATACTAATATTTCCCCATGAGTATAATGTTCTTCTTAGAAGTTAGCACAGGAAAGGGGAATAAAGGTGGCATTTTGAACAATAAAGACCTCAATAAGTACTATTTTAAAGTTACCATTAGTATGGTGAAAAATTAATACAATCATAAGAGGAGCTGAAGAGATGGCTTCAACTGTAAAGACCCATTCCTAGCCCACAACAAAAGCTGGACACATTACTTCACATCTGGAACCACAGTACTATGAGTAGAATGAGACAAGGATGTTCTTGGATCTAATTGACCAATCACCCTGGCTGAGTAGATGAGAAGCCCTGTCTCAGAAAATAAGATTGAGCATGAATAAGAAGGGCATCTAATATTGACTTCTGGCCTAACACACACACACACACACACACACACACACACACACACACACACACACACACAAGCACATACACACAAAAAAATAGTAAAGGGGAAAAAATCAGTGGGTATCTAATTCATCGCAAAAGGAACTGTGAGGATCATGCTTTAATAAAAACAAACATCCAATATGGAACAGAAAAATGAATATATAAAAATGTGTTCATACAGTCAGATTTCAAAAGGCATTTTAGATAATGTTCCTGAAACCTTGCTTGCAGATTCTTTAGGTTCTGCATATTCCTGTGTCTGGAAAGCTGACAACATCACTAAATGAGCAGAAATGAATCTTGCTACAGAGAGGTGTCACCCATTAGACAAATATTGTTTTACATCTTCAGTGTCAATTCTGAACCATGTAGCTGAAAGTTTTCCAATGTCCCGTCTGGTCAGGACAAATCTCTCTCACCCACCAGTCCTGCAGCTGCTCGGACCCAAATAAACACACACAGGCTAATATTGTTTTTAAACTATGGCCATGGCAGGCTTCTTGTTAACTAGATCTTATATCATAAATTAATCCATTTCTATAAATCTATACTTTGCCACATGGGTTGTGGCTTACCAGTATGTTTACATCTTGCTTCTCATGGCAGCGGCTAGCAACGTCTCCCCTGCTCTGCCTTCTTCCTTCCTCCCTCTCTCTTTAGAATGTCCCACCTAAACTTATTCTGCCTAACCATTGGCCAAACAGCTTTATTTATCAACCAATCAGAGCAACACATATTCACAGCATACAGAAAGACATTCCCCATCAGAACCACTGAAAAATGAAATCTACAACCTATCCTAAAGCAGGCAATGTTGCTAAGCCTCAAAGAGAAAAAAAATTAAAGTATATGCATAAAGAGGCAAACATGGAAGAACTCAAATAAGTGGGCTGAGAAATTACACAGGGAATTTTACCAGAAACCTGGGTGTGGAGGGGCAGTGAGGAGAAGCACTACAGAGATGGGACAGGCTAACAAAGCCAGATGTGAGAGAGCAAGCTGCGAGTGCATGTGTAATATTAATAAGAAATAAATAGGTCAGTGCTATTCGGGGTGACTTGTGGCATCAGTCTGAAAGATGAAAATAGTTTTTATATACCACTGAAATGAAGGAGATTGGCCACTTCCAGTGCCAAAGGAGTTTGGGATGAATTACAAGACTCAATAGTATAAGAAAAGATTGGATGTGGTTAGATTAGTACACATACAGAAATAGACAAAGCTAGGAAAACTGGAACAGAGACACAGTAGCAGTGCAAGTCTGGAGGAACATAACAGATCTGAGCCAGGGAATACAAAATATGTACCGCTTGTTCATTCTCTGTTGGGGTCTCATGCTGATAGATGATTGAAGAGGCAGCTGATGCATCCAGAGTGTCCGTGCCATTATCCCACTCACATGAAGACTGCAGCAGACAGAGGAATAGCTAAGCAGGGATTCTGAATTTGTCACTGTAGAACCCTGTCTTCAAAGGCAGAAATCGAATACCTACAGCAAATGAGAACCACACCTCTGAACACAAGAGCCTACCATTCCTCTGACTGTATTTCCAAAGCCCCAAGGTCTTTGGAAAGTTTGGAGAGTCATTGGTGAAGGCAAAGGCAGAAAGGCTCCTCTAACTATGCTTCTAAGACTTGGAGCTTCTCAACCTTCCTAACACTGTGACCCCTACTACAGTTCTTCATGCTGTGGTGACTCCCAACCATAAAATTATTCTGTTGCTACTTCATAACTATAGTGTGAATATATGATATTCAGGATACCCGATGTACAGTCCCTTTGAAAGGGTTGTTTGATCTCCTCAAAAGGGTAACAATGCACAGATTGAGAACCACTTAGAGTGAAAGCAGCTAAATGGCAATGATTGTCCTTATCTATAAAATGAATGAAAACTATCAATGGCAACTAAATCCCAGCCTTTATCTCTCTGGTCACAATAGGGTGCCTTCTGGAAATCTGGCTAAAGAAATTCTCACATTCAAACCCTTACTGATTGATTGAACTATACCAAAAATGATGACCCCGTGTCTCCTCTAGATTGTGTGATATGTATTGCCCAACCCTCTAATCAAAGCTGCAATTCTTTCTCCAAATACCGAGCCTCTTTTTGTGTGTGTTCAGGCACACATTTTTGCACATATACCCAACTGTTGTGTCTGTGCATAGAGGCCTGAAACTGAATCAGGTTTCTTCCTCCATCACCTTCCACTTTGTTTATTGAGGCAGTCTCTCCCTGGACCATAAACTTGCCAATTTCAGTTAATCTACCAAGGCAGTTTGTCCTAGAGAGCCTCTGTCTCTACCTCACAGGTGCTTAAATTACAGGCATCCACAACACCCGTTCAGCCTTTATGTGGGTTCTGGGGATCTTATGCCCAAATGTCTAGCTCTGCTTGCATATATCTTTTTTTTTTCAAGAAAAGGTTTCTCTGTGTAGCCCTGGCTATGCTGGAACTCACTTTATAGACCAGGCTGGCCTTGAACACAGAGATCTGCCTGTCTCTGCCTCCCAAGTGCTGGGATTAAAGGTGTGTGCTACC